CTCTGGCTGAGTACAAGTTCCCTCCTCTCCCTTTGTGCCGCCCTGGGGTCCTGGGATATTTTCCCCTCTGTGAAAGAGAATGGATACATCCATTATGAAAACCAATTCATGTAATTTAAGCCTGCATGCAGTTAAAAACTATATAAAGCAGGTTTATAAAATCTAACCTCCTGGCTTAACAAGCCTGGTTTTGGAAGTGGCTTCTCAGACCCTGGCTGAGGGGTGGTGGCGAGGGGTTGCACAGGGACCCGCATAGCTGCTGAGGAGGCTATGGGACAGGAGGCGCTATCACTGTCCACCTCTTTCATCCGTGTGCCCCTGTGTGCAGGTGTGAGGGGGCACCGTGCTGTGAAGATGGGTCCTTCCCATCGCCGCAGGTTGCTGCAGGCTCCCCCATGCCTGTCTTTGAGGCCTGATCCTGAGGTTGGGGAGGGTGCTGGCCTCACCTCTGGAGGATTCTGCCTCAGTGTCAGAGCCTGGCCTTGACCACCACCTTGTCATCCCTGCCTACTACAGACCCGAGGGGACAGCCACAGAGACTCTGCAACCACAGGCTCTGCCTTTCTTCCTTCTGCCTGTCAGTGAAAAAACATTTTTTTTTAAATGGAGAAAGCTACCTTGACTTCTCAGAGAGTTGAATGAAGTCAGGGGACAGAATCCATATTTTTCAGTTATGGGCATTACCTCTATTTAAAAAGATTTGAGGAGGCTGGCAGAATGGAGCGGGGAGAAGAAAACCCTTCTCTGGGAGGAAGCTGTCCTGCATGTGCTGGCCAGGCTGCCTTTCGGCCGGTGGAAACCAGCTCGAGGGCACCGATGAAAGCAGCTGAGTGAGGAGGGACACTGCAGCAGGAGAAGCCAGAGGACGTGGGAGCCAGTGAAGACGCATGAGTTAGAAAGGAGGGCTCTTTGCGGCCCTGGAAGCAGAAATTCCATTAATCCACCACAAAGGGCGAAAGTTGAAAACTGGTATGATTTCTGTCTAAACGTGCTTACATATTCATGTTCTGTTAAATACTTCTGTAACCTGTGTGTCTCACGTAAATGCAGCTTTCTTTGGTTTTGGAAATAAATCACATGAATCCTGAATAGTAGTCTTTAATAATGTGCTTAGTTGTAGGGCAGTGTTGTGTTTTCATAAGGCAGGTGTATTTGCTGGGAGAATGAGCTGGGGGGCGTGAACCACATCCTCATGTCTGCTGGAAGCCTGCAGTTCATCATACGGAGTTACAGTTAAGACACGTCACATTGCAGAGACACCGTTGAATGTTCGCCCATCGAACGCTTGGCAGTGTCCTTGGTGCTTCACCTGCCGTAGCTGACTATACCTCCCACGCCTGTTGGCTGGCTTTTCTTCCTGTTGGATCAGGGATACACTGCCATGTTTTGTTTTTATTTTAGACGGACTATGGCCCAGGCTGGAGTGCAGCGGTGCAATATCGGCTCACTCAACCTCTGCCTCCCGAGAGGTAGAGAGCGGGTCTCACCATGTTTCCCTGGCCAGTTTCAAACACCTGGGCTCAAGTGATCCTCCCCCCTCAACCTCCCGCTGTGCTGGGATTACAAGTGTGAACCACTACACCTGGCCTGCCATTCTCTTTTCATGGATCATTAAGAATTTACCTTTTAATTAGTATGCTATAAATGTATATGTAGATATGTATGTATATTTATATGTGAATATGTGTGTGTATATATTTCCGTAGCATACACACACTCCCACATATACATTGTGAGAGAGATATCTCCATACCTAGAAATTGATAAGCTTCTTCCAGCTTTTGAAACCACCGGCAGCACAAACATGAAAGAAGTTAAAAAAAAAAGTTCAAGTGAGTTCAAGTGATCCTCCTGCCTCAGCCTCCGAAGTAGCTGAGATTACAGGTGCCCACCACCATGCCCAGCTAATTTTTTGTATTTTTAGTAGAGATGGGGTTTCACCATGTTGGTCAGGCTGGTCTTGACCTCTTGACCTTGTGATTTGCCCCCCTCGGCCTCCCAAAGTACTGGGATTACAGGCGTGAGCCGCCATGCTCGGCCCACTGACATAGTTTTAAGAAAAGCTGGCCTTACCCACAGGGCTAGCCAATCACGGTCACGTGTTTCCAGTAAGCCATTGCCTTACGTAAGGGTAACAGCATGGGACGTGATCTTAGCCAATGCGATAAAAGTGGAGATGAGGTGAGAGGCTTTTTTAACAAAGAGACAAAAGCAAGATGTTGCCTGTCTTCCTTCTCTCCACGTGTCTCACCCTGATGTGAGGCCAGAACAGAGGCAGCCTTACTGCAACCATGGGGAACCCAGCATGAGCACAGAGCCAACAGCAGAAGAGTGGCAAAGGGAGAAGATGAAAGGAACCTAGGTTTTCATGGCATTGTTGAGTCATTCGATTAAAAATCCCTGGAATTTTCCTCTCTATGGCAGTGTGTTTTGTGGTATAATGAGTTGCCTTACTGGGGTTGGCTTGTTAAATGGGATGTTTTGCTCCCATCAACATCCATACGCTTGCTCTGTGAACCAATGACCTGATAAGGCAATATTACCACTGCCACCATTACGCTGACGAAGAGATTTATGGCACAGTGGTCCAGTAGCTTGTGCAAGGCCACACGGCCCGTAGGTTCTGGAGGAGGGCTTAGAGCACCCCCTGTGCTATCACTACTGGCCATCACACTGCCCCATAAAGCTGCTGGCGGTCACTCCTCTGAGTGGTTAGCACAGAAGAAATGTCTTCTAGAATGTTGGCCAGACAAATGGAAGCCTGCCAGGGTTGGGTCTCCCCATGACAGCAGCTAGCCTGCCCTCTTAGTCCCTGACAGCCACAGCGACAGCATCTGTGATTGCAAAGAGTGACAATTTATATCTCTCATTTCATCACACCATCTATCAGCAGTCAGGCTTTAAAAATCAATCCCACACTGACTCAGTCCCCAGCAGAGATGGCCTCTGACAACAGTGTCTTTCTCCACACCGCGGGCTGGACAAGGGCCCTATTAATTTTGAGACTCAGCCAAATTTCCTCCTGCCCCCAGGCTGGTGAGTCCCTGTTCCTTTGCTTTGATTGGGGGCGGTGTGAGCTGAGGCTGTGATCCCATTTGTTCCCATGGCCTCCACGTGGCCTGGGCCTCCCTGAATGGGCCACATGGTCATGCTGATTGCTTGATTACACGCAGACCTAGCAGTCATCTGGGCACAGCTGGTTTGTGGATCACTTTGTTACAATGTTCCACCCTTCCAGGTCCTCATTCCTGCAGTGAGAAAACATTGCTCTAGGCAGTGCTAGGAGCCTTCAGCAGGCATTGGCCGCTTCTGGATTCAGGATTAGAACCAAGGAGGAGGAGTCACAGCAAAGACAGGAACAGAAGGCAGAGAGAACAGACAGATGGGAGTGTTTGAGAAGATGGGCCTTTGAGACCTCAGGGAGTGGGAGAGGCTGGCTCAAGAATAATAATGGCAGTATCTCTCATCTGAGTTTTCAGGGAAGGGACTGGAACTCCCAATACCCCTGACATGGGCTGAGTGAATGTGATCATGAACATGTGACAGGTAACAATGACAATGGCCATCTTTCCTTGAGTCCTTATCTTGTGCCATCACTTTACTAATTACATAGATGATCTCATTCGATCCTCATAACAACCCTGTGAAGTACATGCTGTTGCTGCTCCCATTTTATGGATGAGCAACTGAGACCCAGTGGAGCTAAGTTAGTTTTGCAAGCTCATATAACTGGTAGGCATCAGAGCCTGGGATAGAACTCGGGTCTTCTGTTTCCAAGTTTAATGGGCTCCCAGCTAGCCTAGAGAGATGTCCTGTACCTGATCCCTTGAGATAAATTTACCTCTCACACCCAGAAGTTGGTAGCAATGCCAGGGGGTTGCGCCTTTCATTAGGAGGCAGAAAGAAGAGCCCCTGACCAGGATTGGCTTGTGGAGCTGGTTATTGACTACCTGGGCATTTTGCTGATGGTGCAATTTGCAAAGCTGCTAATGGTAATGAAACTCCAGTGAGTGTCAGGAGATACAGGGGAAGCCAAGAAGTAAGAGGAGGCTGCCCTCTCCCTAAGCTGCCCTTTGTGGGAATTAATGAGGTCTGTGTCTTCTCCTGCTTTAGACATCTCCTGGAAACGACAGGTGGCCTTAGACCATCCTGTGAGCCTGTCCACCTCCCGTCCTGCCACACCAATCACCAGAGGAGAAACTGCCATGACATCCAGCCTTTGCTGTTCCTTCCACACTTGAATTTGGGGCTCTGAGGGTTGTTCAGGCACATGTTGTGTAATTCCAGAACCAACTTTGAGTCCAATTGCTGGACCTCCCAAATCATGCTTTAATGGCCTGTGTTGCTTTGTACAATAAGAGTTGAGAAGGAATGAAATCCACAATGAGAGGAAGCTAGATTCTAGTCATTCAATGTCCATTTAGATTCTCACAAGCTACGTATGACTGTGTAGAAGAGGGAAATGGGAGAGAACACGCACCAGCAGAAAGCCTGAGCTGAGCTCCCATCAAGCAGCCTCAAGCCAGGCTCCTACGATGCAGGTTGTGAACGGAGGTTGAACTCAGAGACCTGGGCCCTGCCTCTTTGGGGTTAAAGGAACTGGAAGAAGCCACAGCAAAAGCTGGCAAAGTTGTTCTTCACTCCCAGCCCAAGGGCACACTTCTGCACCATCCCTTCCACTGTCACTGAGCACTTTTCATGGGTCAGCCACTCCTACAGTCTGGGGAAAAAGCACTGTTAAGATGCAGGGCTGGAGTTCGGGAACTCCATCTGGTAGCGAAGGCAGATATGTAGCCAAGTTCATTTAAGGAGGAACAGTGATGGCCACTGCTAGGAGGGAGTACCCAGGAAGGAGAGAGAAGAGAGGCAACAATTCCACCTGCAGGGTCCGGCAGAGACCTCAGAGGGTTACCATCCAGCGGGGGCCCACTGAGGAGGATTCCCCCAGGCAAAGAGGTGGGGAAGAGGGGGTGGAGAGTTGGGGGAAGAAGGTGGGTTTCACAACCTCAGAGTGGGCGCAAATCTTAGTTCTGAAAGGTACTTGCTGTGAGACCTGGGTATGCTCATTAATAGGCACAAGCTTCAATTTCCCATCAGCAAAAGAAGGGTGAGGCTCATTTTTTGTGATTGTGGTCAGCATGCAATGTGGATGAGGCATCAGTCCATGTGAGCACGTTTCTCTGAACGCTGGCTTCTTCCCTGCATTCCAGGAGGCAGCAGAACTTGCAGAGAAGAGTGAGGCACGTTTGAGAAAGGCTGAAAAATGTTTCTGTCCAGGCACGTGTGTGTGCTGAATGACTCAAGGATTCTTTGGGTATATCATTTCCCATGCCTCTCCCCCAAATAGGACTCTGCTTCTCATCTAAGCATTTGTATAAATATTATTTATTGGTTCGTGTCTATCAGAGTCCTACTGAGTAGAACTTATATCAGAAAAATTAAGAATCTCTAGAGATGGCAAAGTGCAGAAACGAAACCCCCAGGAAGGCAAATACTCAAAGTTCACTACACACCAGGAGGCAAGGGTCGGGGCCCGGGTCTCTGAGGCTGCCCAGGGGGGCTCAAGGTTGGTAGTGAATACAGGAATCAGCTGGAAGCTGGAGGCCATGTGACCCTTGGACCCGCATTCCAGTTGTTGGACAGGTCTGGGTGGGACTCCGGGATGTGCATTCCCAAGGGAGTGTCTGGTGATGCTAACACAGCAGGGCCTGGTCCACCCCGAATCCGTGGCCCATCTCCATCAAAACTTCCTTTCTCTAGTCAAGTCCCTGGCTGGGACTTGGATTGAACTGAATGAAGGATCGTTACAAGAGGCAGTTAGGATTAGGGCTTGGGGAACTCCTGAATGTCAGACTGAAAGGTCTGGAAACAAAAGTGGAGAATAAAGCTCTGGGAAGAGTTCTATCCCCACGGCCATTCTGCCAATAGGGAACCTGCCCATGTCCTGGTCTCGGAGGCCCTCGGTGTAGCCCAGCTGGAGAAGCATCCCTGGGGGTGGTCAGGAGGCTGCTGCCTTCTGGACCTTTCTGCAGCCAATGCCTAGGGCAGCGAGGCCAGCCCTTCCCAGATGGCCAACTCTCAGGCAGATAGTGGTCACCCATACACAGCGGGACTCAAGGGGCACTGGAGAGCTCCTCTTTCCAGAGTATCTCCTGTGGTCTGAAGGAGATTTAACCGATGTGGGTTAAAATCCTGAAGGCCCCTGCCAGTGTGCAGGTATGTCGTCCCAGAGGGGTAGCAACCTAGATCAGCTGCACTCAGAGAACTGCTCTAAGTAAAAGCAAGCTGGGTACCAGAGCCATGGGCCAGGACATGGAGGGAATGATGTATTTGGATTCAGTCTGAATGGAGAAGAAAAGTGTCCAGATGGGCATGGGAGTTATTTCAAGTTGATACATTTAACCCACTATTTATTTGGCTCTGAAATTGGTTCCGTGGAAAGATAGTTCCTGCTCCTACCCAGAGCACCCAAGTAGCCGTAATGCTGGGAGACTCAAATACACACCAGCAGGAACGTTGTGTGGGGAGTGGTTGGAGATGAGGCCTGGAGTCTGTGTGAAGTCTTGACGTATGTGCCGGATTCCAGTGGCAGAAGGGAAGCGCGTGTGCGTGGGTGCGTGCGTGTGCGTAAGGGGAGGGTGTATCGCCAGAGGAGGCAGTGGCCTGAAAAAGTTGGATTGAATTGAATGAAGGATCCTTACAAGAGGCAGTTAGGATTGGGGCTTGAGGAACTCCTGAATGTCAGGCTGAGAAGTCTGCACTTCTGGGGGAGCAGCTGGGGTTTCTGAGCTGGAGACTGACTTGAGCTTTGAAAGGTTGATCTGGTGGCGTAAGACTGGAGAGGGCCTGATGAAGCCAGCACCGAGATCAGTCATGAGGCTCTTAGAGCAGGCTAGCGCACTGAAAGCTTGCCCCCGCAGTGGCCTTTGGAGAAGAAATACTCTCAGGTAGTACTCGCTGAGTGCCTACTACATGCAGAGTTCACAATGGTAACTCTAATTTTAGCAATAAGCCAGTAGGGTGAAGGTGATTCCCAGCATTCATTCTTCCAACCAGTATTCACTGAGTGCTTCGTGGACACACCTGTGGGATAGACACAGCCTTCACTCTCAGAGAGCCTGCCTTCTCATGCATTTTGTATGGCATGGATACACCTGTGGGATAGACAGCCCTCACTCTCAGAGAGCCTACCTTCTCATGCATTTTGTATGGCTCTTTTCAGAGGGGGGAAAACTCAGAGAGAAAACCAGAAACTTGCTCAAAGCTCACCAGCTTTGTTGGGACGTGGATTCAAACGTGTGTCTTGCTGCCTTCAAATGGCCTAAAAACACTCCCTGATATTTTCTGGTCATCTCCTGGGCGAGGTGATAAGCGGGCTATCATCATTTGATCATCATAACAACTTGAATGAAGGAGGTATTAATTATAACCCATTTTTAGATGGTGAAAGTGAGATGCAGCAAGATAAAGCTGTCCAACTCACCGTGAGTGGAAGAGCCAAAATTAGATATTTGTGGCCAGGCATCGTGGCTCATGCCTGTAATGCCAACACTTTGACAGGCTGAAATGGGCGGATTACCTGAGGTCTGGAGTTCGGGACCAGCCTGATCAACATGGTGAAATCCCATCTCTACTAAACAAACAAACAAAAATTAGCCTGGTGTGGTGGTGCACACCTGTAATCCCAGCTACTCGAGAGGCTGAAGCCAAGAATCACTTGAACTGGGGAGGCGGTGGCTGCAGTAAGCCAAGATTGTGCCACTGTACCCAGCCTGGGCGACAGAGTGACACTCCATCTCAAAAAAAAAAAAAAAAGATATTTGTATCCAGGCCATCTGATCTCAGAGCCTTACTCTTAAGCATTGCACCTTCCAAAGGTCCTTTCTCCCTCCCTCCCTCCTTCCCTGCCCCCGCCTTTCCTTCTTCCCCAAATAATTCAATATGGCTTTGGCAACCATGTGCAGCGTGTATGTGGAGGTGGTGGCGGGGGAGATAAACAGGAGAAGACTCAAAGCTGGTGCTGAGTTCTCAACCCTGTGCCTCTGGCAGACCGGGAACCTGGAAGCAGAGCAGGCCTGGGTGGAGGTCTGGGGAAGGGGACCCAGGAGGGAACCCTAGTGTGTGGCCCTGGGGATTCAGGGGCAGCAGGAGGATGAGGGTCCTCTGGAGGAAGAGAGACCAAGTGGTCCACATGGAGAGGAACCCTGAGCGGAAGACCGTTTTCATCTGTGGCCTGTACTCGGACAGGTGCAGATTGGGGTTCTGATAGGAGAAGCATTGTCCACAACACACAGCAGGACAAGTCCGTGTTGCTCTGCACAGTGAGAGAAATGCTTGATCTTGAAACAGGACTAGCTCAGGTGTGGGGCGGGCAGCTGCGCGTCCCCACGTGCCGGGCTCCGTGTGTACAGGCAATGTGGCGTGTCTGACGGTGCACCCTGCCTTCAAGTCTCCATCGTCTTCTCCCCAGGACAGAGATGATTGTAATTTTCTAGGTGCCACCATCTAACCCATGTGCCCATGACCGTCTGTATGATGCCTGTCTGTATGTCTTTCTTCCCAGACAGAATTGGGAAGGAGGAGACTATGTCTGAAGGGCTTTCAATCTCTCCTTGGACATGTCTAATAGCACTCAGAAAGTACCCAATAAATATTTGTGAAAAGAAAGGAGTGGAGAAAGGGAGAAAGGGGGAAAGGGATTAGGGGAGAGAGAGAAGAAAGACTGCCTCTTGCCCAGGGCCTGGCGTGGGGCATAGGCAGAGCGGTAGGGTCCTCAGCTGTGTCCCACTCCAAGTGCGCACTGAGTCCTGACTTTTGGAGGGTTCAGCCTCTGGGGCCCTGGCACGTCTGGAAAGGTGCACCAGCCAAGTGGCCTGCCCTGACCACCAGGCTCACCCCTGACCACCTGGGTGGCTATGCAAGTTCCCGACAATGAGTACAGCACTGTTATTGGGTCCCTTCTACCCGCACACTGTTCATTTCCTGGGGAACTGCTGTGGGCATGCAAGTGCTTGCTACCCAGCTCCATTGGTGACGCTGGTGGCTCCTTGGTGGGGCCTCCCCTGCCCAGACAGCCTCTGCTCCATTGCCACTGCTGGGGTCCTCATGTCTGTCCTAGCTGCTCCCTGCAGTGGGGTGAGGAGAGTGGGGCTGGTCCCATTGAGACTGGAGAAGCTCCAGGCTTTCTAGGAAGACTGCCAGGGATGCAGAGAAGAAATCACTTCCCCATATGGGCAGCTTCTGGGTTTAAAGGGAACCTCTGCCCTTGTGGAGTCCGCACCAGATGAACCCAGACGCTGCCTCAGCGCCAGGTCCCTGTAGCTCCGGAGCCTTCACTAGGTCTGTGCAGCGCCTCTTCCTCTCCAGCTCATCCTGGGGTCTCTTTGCCCTTGCCGGGGGCAGGCTTCCTGGTGAAGGGCTGACCTCCTGCATGAAGGCTCTCAAGAGGCCAGTTTAAAACCAAGCTCCGGGTCTGTGCCTGTGGGGCTGTTCCTCTATCAGGAGCTGGTCTGTACCTGTGTGCTGCTTCTCCATCAGGAGATGGTCCCTCCCACCCCCAGTCTGTACCTGTGGGCTGCTTCTCCATCAGGAGATGGTCACCCTCCCCCCGCATCTGTACCTGTGGGCTGCTTCTCCATCAGGAGATGGTCCCTCCCTCCCCCCGGTCTGTATCTGTGTGCTGCTTCTCCATCAGGAGATGGTCACTCTCCCTCTTGGTTGCTAAGTCCAAAAACAACCTCTGTGGAAAACTGTATGGAATTTTTTTTAAGAACTGAAACTGAAACTTGTATTTGATCTAGCCATCTCCCTACTAGGTATACACCCAAGGCAAAATAAATCATTATATCAGAAAGATAGAACATGCATGTGGATGCTCATTGCAGCACTATTCAGTACAGCAAACGTAGGCAGCTGAGCTGAGTGTTCATCAATGATAAACTGGATAAAGAAAACACGTTACACACACAGCATGGAATACTACTAAGGCACAGAAAAGAATGAAATTGTGCCCTTTGCAGCAATATGGATGAAGCTGGAGTTCATTATCCTCAATGAAATAACGCAGAAACGGAGAGACAAATACCGCAGATTCTTGCTTTTAAGTGGGAGCTAAATAACATGTACACGTGGACATAGAGAGTGGACTGATAGACACTGGAGGCTTGGAAGGGTGGAGGGGAAGGGGTGGAGGGGTGATAAATTGCATCATGGGTACAATTGATGATATTTCGGTGGTGGTTGCCCTAAAGGCCCAGGCTTCAGCACTATGCAATTTATCTTTGTAACAGACTGCACGTGCACCACTGAAATTCG